ACATGGCAGCTCACAACTACCTACAACCCCAGAATCTTTTCTTCTGGCCTCTTCCAGCACTGAACATATGTAGTGCACTTACACATAAAATAAAAATAATAAAATCTTTTTTAAATGCATTTCCAATTGACGCTATTTTCAACTTGAGGGACTAGAGTTAGACAGCTACCCTTGATAGGTAGACAGACAGGAAGACAGGCCATGACTAGGAACAAAGATAGCAAACGTCCAGCTTCTTCCTGATATTTCTGTCCAGACACAAAGGCCTTAATGCCCCTCCATCACTAGAGCCCAGCAGGCTGTGGACCAGTTTGATAAGTTTAAGGTCCTACAAGTTCAAGGCAAGATCAGGCAAGGTTTACCCCAAAATTATGGGCCTATCAGCCTTCCCCTCTTTGTGTTCAAACTGAGCAACCCTAAATTCAGGGATGAAGACCCCTAAAAGACCCTTAAAGCCCCCAGCCTTGCCGGTCCCCCTTGTGCTCTGCAGTCTTTCTCTGCATGTGCCTTGCTGGGTGCGTTGCCTCGCCCCTAATAAAAGTCTTTCTTTGCAGGCTGACTCTGTGGGCTGTCTGAGATTTCCGCGAGTGCTGCTGCTACGGGTTGTACTGGATATGTGAGGTGGTTGTTTTTTTCCCCTGCCTTTTAATTCTTTAACTGATGGGGGAGGGGGCCACATGACTATCAAGACCCCTAGATGGTAACAAACTGATTATGGCTATGTTGGAACGTAACTCTTAAATGGTAAATCAAGAAGCGTCTGTGGTGGGTACTTGTGGACATTACTGGAAAGTGCACCTAAGTTGTTTGTTTCAAAAGCTTTCCAATGTGGAAGCAAGCACAAAGTCCATGAGATCTCACATACTCTCCTCCCCTGTACAAAGTGTGTGGCCTAAGAACCTGACAGCATATATTCTTACGGTCGCAGTCATGGAGCCTAGATGTAGAAGAGTTAAGTACTCAATTTGGTAGATACATTTTTCTACATTCAGAAGAAATGCACCAAGAAAGGGGATTGTAATAGTGACACAGGAGTTATCTTTAGCAGATCTAGCTGTCCTGAGCAGAGAGGCCTGGGCAATGAGACTTCACCTTAGGCACCCTTGCCAGAAGCCACTGGGTTTCATCCTGGCCTGACCTAGAAAAATCTTACGGAAGAGAACAAGAGGCCCCAGAGTGCTCTGATCTACTGTCCACCAGCTGCGGCAGGGGAGCTGCCAAAAGCTGCAGTGACTGGGAGGGAGCGTCTGTGAGGGGATTACCAGCCTGATCCTGTCCTGGGAGCCAGAGATGACTCAAACAGCAAGGGCCTGCAGGCAGAGTGACAGTGAGGCTGGGAAGGGCTTCTCCCCGGGGCTGCTGTCTCTTCCCCCCCCAATTGGCTGCTGGGGCAGATTCTGGACAGTGTGCAGCCTGTGAGGTAATCTGAATTCCTTGGCAATCAGTAAGTACCTGAATTCTTTCAAAACCACAGGAATTCAGCACAGAAAAGGTAAATATCCCCCCCGGAGCCAGTGTTAATTAGCAAGCAAGGCTACTGAAGGAGGGCCTGGGGGTGGGGGAGGAAAGAAAGGCATTACAAAACGATGTGGGGTCCTCTCTGCGTCTCCACTGGGCAATACGGCTGGGAGGCGTGATGGCAGGGCTGCCTAAGGGCAGCACGGGAAGAGGCCTTCCAGTTTCCTCCCACTTCCACGACCTGGGCGGGCGGCGAGACCCTCAGAGCTCATCACGGACATTCATGAGCTGCTGCTACCTTTCTTTAAGTCACTGACAACACACATGGTTTTCAAGTCAATGTCGTTTTAATTAAAAAAAAAAATTCCTGTTTCAGTGCAAATTTGGCTGTTAGCTTTGTTTCGAAAAGGGCTGTCTCAAGTCATTTATATCCCAGATTGGATCCTTCTAGAGTTTTAAAATCCAGAACAAAGCCTTTTTGGATTCTACTTCTGACATAAAAATGTATCTCCACCATTTTGGTGAGAACAACACCCCTCTCTCTAGAAACTCGATGTCTCCTTGTTTCTAGCTCAAAACGGCAACTTACATAGAAATTCTACAGCAGAAGCCTGCACGGGGACTCTACAGCGTCAACCACAGCAGAAGTGCCACTACCCAGCTGACTCAAGTGCCGGGTGGCCGCCTCGCTCTCGTAGCTCCTCAACATTCTACCGACATCTAGAACCAGCAAGAAGGAACTGGAAAGAAGGCCCGGTGGTTAACAGCACTTGTCCCTTCTGCAAAAGGTCTGGGTTCAGTTCCCAGCACCCACATGACAGCTTAAACCATCTCTAAGTTCAAGAGGATCCAATATCCTCCTCTACCTCTGCATGCACTGAACTTACATATACACAGGCAAAGACTCCTACACATAAAATGAACAGTGAGAGGTCTGCTTTGTGTGACTAAAACAAAGACAAATGAAAACATTAACCTATAATGAAACGAAGGTCTTTTCCTTTACAAGGTTTAAAAGGGAAAGGAATTTACACAAAATAACCTATTTCACAACGCAGTGACCTTTATAAAGTCGGTCTCCTAGCATTAATTTGAAGCTCCCAACAAAAATGACAGGGTATAAAAGCCTAAAGAAGGAAACTAATTATTTTTGCCTCCAGGTCTGTCTCTTTAGGAAAGATTATGGTTTTCCTTCTCGTCTCAAAGTCAAGCAACCTGATGATCTCATCCCAAACTGATTACCTTTAGTTGTGGCTACACAAAGCACACGTGACCCCAGATGAGCAGCAGGAGCTGCAGGTGCGGAGGAGCTGCAGACAGATGCGGACTGTAATGACACAGCTGAGCGCACTCTGAGACAGACAGAAGGGCGAGGGAATGCCAAGACAAACAGTGACTGCGCGGACGCACTGAAGAACCCGCACAGAACAGTGTGACTCGTATGTCTGCGCAAACAGCCCGAGATAATGCATGAATACGCCTATGATAAGGATTTCATATCCACCCAGGTTTCAGGTAAACCCACCAAAGACCTGAAAAGTTTTCTTTTCCCCTTTTTTTTGGCTTGATGGTATGAGTATTTAAAAAGCTATTTTGCTAACAGTGAGGAAAAGCATCCATTGGCCATATAAATGTGTGTATGTATGCACATGTACATGCCAGTTCCTACTGGAAACAAGGCAAGTGTCACTAATTCAGTAGCTCTGACATATAACATAGCAGGTAGCCAGAGTTATTTACACATCTGCAGCAAACTGTAATAAATGCTAGTATTGCTCTCATTTTATGCTCTGAACCATAAAGATGCAAAGACTGTAAAATTTTACTCGTAGTGACAGCTACAAATATTGTACGTGAAACATCTTAGGATATGATACAAAATATATTGGTATGACACCCTTGAGAAACAGTGTGCATAAATACCCTCTCTCTTCCAGAAGACCAAGCAGAACCAAGGACACGAGTTGGGGTGAGGAGGCATGGAGGAAGATAATGAAGAGGCCCATTACATGAGAGAGGGGAGTCTTAGAGGCTCAGTTACACCACCACACTCCACTGCACCCTGTGCCCCAGAAGAAGCAGGAGTATTTTACCTTCTCTCTGTTCTAGACGATTGGAAACTAGGCTTTGATATTTATATTGGTCTTCTTTCTATGTATACTTCAAAGTACAGGAGCTCACATCCATAAATACTATAGAAAATGTCTTCCTTATGACAACCCAATTAGAGCTAATAGTTCATGTGCAAGGCCTTTATTCAACTGGGAAACACTTTATTTTTCTCCTTCTCAGTTTTCAAGGGACAAGAGGGCAGGACGATGGAGTATTAGTAGCCTCCAGTGTTCCCAAGGCTCCAACTCATAAATCTTAGTTAAGAATATGACAGAACTTATAAAAGCTGCCATTGCCACCTAGAGGTGAAGGGAAGACATGGCTCAGCCAGCAAGGGGCTTTGGTTAGTCCCCTTACTCCAAAATAAATTGGAAATAGAAAACTCAGTTGTCACAGTACAGTTCAGCCTGTCTAAAGGATAAACAGGTACTGAAGAAGTTCTGGGAGGACAAGGATTCATCTGTTTTCTTCATAAACACAAATAGTTATCCTTATTTTATTCGTGTAGTCTCCATTTTCAAAATAAATTTTCTAAAATCAGAAAAATGCATAGACTGACTTTCCAGTTTCTTATGTCTGCTCACAGATGCAAAGCTCCCTCTAGACTGCTACGTATTATCCCATCAAGGCCATGACACAGGAGAACTGCAGAGCAAAGTAGGTGATTTAAAATAAAAGTAAGGGAAAGGAACACATAGCAAAGTTACATCGTTTTTGAAATAGCTTACAGGATTTACAGAAACTGTTACCTGTAAGTCTTTGTGGGCATGGGAGACAAAACTCCAAATTATTATAAATTTAGGATTGAATTCTGTTGACAGGCACTACCTTAAAACCTACTAAGCACCCAAGAGAACTGTATTCACAACCACGGCAAAGTATATAACTTGTATACTAAGGGGTGAAAGCCGTGAATACCTCATGACATGAGGAAACACGACTATTCGATGAGCTCTAATCCCCTACCCACTACCCCATTAGGAAAGCTCAGAAAAGTCACCGCCACGCCCGCTTATGCAAAGCTGTGTCTTCTGCTGCAAATGGGCAGCAGGTATTGCTGTTGGGAGGATTAACATAAGGACCTGCTGTATGACAAGGAAATGAAATGTGGCTTTTATTTTTCCCTTCGAGATCTACTCTGAAAAACATTACAATTTCTCTTAATAGAGCCCTCATAACAACCCTCATTGCATGAATTACGCTGTGGCTTCTACACCTGAGGAACCAGGTGTGTGGTTCCACACACTTTGTGTGGACCTGCAAGTGAAGCTGGAGCACCAAGACTGCTTCCTGACATCTGAAGCCCATCTGGGCACACTCCATCTCCCTGAGTTGAACCTCACAGAAAGCAGCAGCCTGGTCTCAGAAACCTTTGGGACGGACCCACTCTAATATACCCAGCCAATCCTCCACCTGAGAACACCTCTTACCTAGCCAATCCTTCCTCATAGAGATAGATGACAAGGGGATCATAGGAAGTCACGAGCACATAGAGGCGCACGTCAAACTTGAAATCTAGGAGGAAAGAAAGTTGGGCGTCACAAGAAAAATGAAGTGCATCTATTTTTTGTTGCGATGAACAGGACAACACAACCAAGAGCTGTGGAAAGATGACAATCCTCTTCACACAAAGCACACATATACACATCTTGCATTTTGAGACTAAAGAATTGTTCACACCATGCTATGCAGTATAGTTGCTAAATACACACAGTACAATGTCAGAACATGGTCCAAGAATGAATTCATGTGAGGAGATTTCTGAGTGCTTGTGAGAAAACGCCAAGACACCAAGGCAAGGGTCTTGTAACCTCAGTTTCTTCAAAAGCACAAAAATATTCTTAGATTATGCCTCCCAGGTGTAGCTGAGAGTAGTGAATTTACTTCAGATTATTCACTATAACTGGTTAGTTATTTGTTTATATGGCTTTATGGAAAAACATTTTTTGCCATGTGTGGCTTGTCCTCCACAGACACCACAGGTGTGTATGAGAGTGTGTGTGTGTGTGTGTGTGTGTGTGTGTGTGTGTGTATACATGCACGCGTGCTCATGTGTGAGCAGCATCTCTCCTGTATCACCTAATTTCAGCTTCAAAAGGATGGTAAAGAACCATCCTCATCTCTGGAACCATGGGTAGCAAAAATGTCAAACTACCTTTAAAAGATTTACTAGAGAGGACTATGAAAATGTTACAAAGTTGAGCAAGATCCAGCCCAATCTAGTCAAGAGTCAATCACAACTCACCATCTATGAGCAGGGGATTGTTAATGTAACGCGAGACCAAGATGTTCTCTTCCAGGGAGATCTGGTTTGGCTGTTGGGTAAACAGAAAGGAATGAAAAGAGAGAAATCCTAAGATGTACAGTGAGGGGGCAAAGTTCTTAACCTTTTAAGAAGTGATACTGTGGAAACCCATAATAGTCAACTGGCCATATGACATGCCATGTGGGTACCCAATCACAATGGGGAAAAATAAATTTACATAGCACCTCTCATAACAAATGCAGCTAAACAGCTTTAAAGATTTATATGCGTGGCATAAAATAGTTATTTGCCAAGAAAATAAGAGCTACTTAAAAATAAAAAGCTGCTTCTTTTCAACTATAAAGACGAACGGAAGTTTTAAAACACTACACTGTTCCCAATGCACCTCTCACTAAGCTGTTCTGGAAAGGCCAAGACGCACAATGCAGCCCAGGATTCCCAGTAAGATGGAGTGGATGTGTGATGCACTTAAGTCACTTGCTAAGCAACTGTGTGTAAAGGCTGAAGGAGATCGTTTACAGATCTCGCCAACAGGTAAAACTGTTTATATAAGAAATAGTGGGTACTGCGGCCCATGTGTAAAGCACTGAGTACTCAGCAATGAAGAAAACAGATACAACTGTACCCTCACACAACTTCAGATTCGGCAGCTCCTCTCCCCTAAAGGGTTTACTGTTTTGGGTTAGAACAGCAAGATGTAGACTGTAAAAGGACACAGAGCAGCAGCTCCACAAATATAAGATGTCACGCTGATAAGGGGCCAGTCTGCAGGGCTGTGAAGGAAAGGCCAGCCCTGGCCAGCAGAAGAGCAGACACAGGAGGAATCAGGGAAAGCCGAGGGCATGTGCTGGGGAGAAAAGGAGAAAGGAGGCCACTGTCATCTGCAAAGTCCAGCAGAAAGGAGGGAGGCAGATTCACGGGCCTGAAAGCTCGAACTGGGAAATGGCTGACGGGTGGGGAGGACAGTAGGGAGGGAACCTGTTGGCACAGGGATTTGAACTGGCAAGGGGAGTTGAGATTTCATATGGTGGGAAGCAGGAAGTTACTGCAGACTCCACATGGAGGAAGCAGTGAGATGAATACGTCTCAAACAGAACAACTGCATGCGTTGTTAGATTAAGACAGAAAGATCAGCTGCAAGTCAGTCCAGATGGGCAAAGGGGCTTCAAACTATAAACGGCAACAATAGCAATTATGAGATTAACTACAGTAGCTGCTTGGAAATAACTAGCAACATTTGCAGAAATAATTACAATTTAATAGAAGTACTGAGCATTTACCATGTGCCAAGAGCTGTTCTTAGCATGTCCAGGAGCGGGTGTACTCTACAGATGAAGGACAACAGTGGGACCTGCTGTCACAGAGCTGTATGCACTGTGGTGTAAGCACTGGTGCAGCACCGTAGCCTGGGCAGGGTCTCGGGAGCTTCACTTTCAAGCTCTGCTCATAGTGCTCCCCAAATCCTGGCACAAAATAACTGTCCCCAAATCCAAAAGTCTGTAACAAGGCACTTCCTAGCCCAACTACTACTGCTGTTATCTCAAAGGCAGACTACAGCTTTTACAATTCAACTCTATGTATCAAATGAACACAATGACATCAGTATTCATTCATCCCCAATGAACTCAATCGCCCATCCCATTTCCTGATGCCCTTACACTTCGCGATCAGTCTATCACAAGTACCTATCTCCATTTCCAAGTCAGTGAGTGAGTAAGAATGCATGTAATCACTAGAAAAGCAATGAAGCTGCAGGCTGGGTTGCAGACTGACGTTAATCAATCACAGTCATGCAGCAGCTATAGGCTACAACTGAGCCACCCCTGGAGGCTACATCTGAGAAACGCCTACGGATTACAGCAGGTACACGACTGGTACCCACCTGTCCTCTGTCCCAGAGAACACACTGGTGGTGACAGCTCTCCACGCCGTGACATACCTAGTGCCCATGCCTACTTCCTCTCTTCCACCGCACTATGCACAACATCACCTCTTCTGTTGAGACACTTAGTGCCTGCTCAGCTCTCTTTCCTCTCATTCCCATCTGCCTAAGGAAAATGAAAAGCTCACAGACGAAAGGGCTATTTGAAAATGGTTCCTTTGCCTAGTACTATCCCTTAAAGCCCAAGTAATAAAAGTTTTTGACATCCTTAAGTGTATTTCCTACTCACTAATCCTCACTTAACTAATTTAAAAGTATTTCCATTTCAAGGTAGAATTTCCTCCCAAAGTAAAAAGCAGGCTAATACAGGAATCAGATTTGCTGTGGAAATTGGAAATACATCTATTTTCCTAACTGAATCTTAAGACTCAAGCTTGGGGTACTTGTTAATTTATTGCAGAGTAGAAAAGCATGGTGGTTAAGAAGATGCTCTGGAGCCAGCGGGACCTCAGCTACAACCCTGACTCGACCACTTACTAAGAAAACAGTAACTGTGACATGGGCTTCTCAGACAGAGTAATCTTATCAGGAGGGTCTATTTGGAAGGCGGATGGAAAGCGCCGGTTAAATGCTCAAGAGATATCAGCTGGTGCTAGGAGCAGTGGCGCACACCTTTAGTCCCAGCCCTCAAAGGGAAGAGGCAGGGGGATCTCTGTGAATTCTGGGCCAGTCTGAGCCTACATAGTGAGTTCCAGGTCAGCCAGGGCTACTAGTGAAATCCTCTCAAAAATATGTCTCAAAAAAGAAATATCGGGCTGGAGAGATGGTTCAGCGGTTAAGAGCACTGGCTGTTCTTCCAGAGGTCCTGAGTTCAATTCCCAGCAACCACGTGGTGGCTCACAACCATCTGTAATGAGATCTGGTGCCCTCTTCTGGAATGCAGGGATACACTCAAACAGAACACTGTATGCATAATAAATAAATAAATAAATAAATAAATAAATAAATAAATAAATAAATCTTTAAAAAAAAAGAAAGAACTATCAGTTGCTGTTAGTATTACTGCAAACTCAACAGTTATCTGTGTGGTTCTGACCACCAAATTCCACAACTCGACAATAGTCATCTCCACATGCCAGAACATGCCACATGCCAGAGCAATACAGCGAAGACACCGAAGAACTAGAAGATATAAAATAATTAGAATTTCGCCAAAGCTTTTAAGGAATGATAATATCCGGCACACAGCCAGCACTTCCTAAATAATTGTCAAACAATAAGAAGCACACAGAACATAAGATAATACATGCAAAGATAAAAAAAAACCAGGGGAAGATGGGATTATCCACACAGGGAGGACGGGGTGAGGAGTATGACCTAAGTCTTTGGGTACTTCGCAATCTCAGGATGTCTATTAATAGAACCACGGATAATGGATGACACAGGATGACTGAATTAGACCTCAGCAGTGAAATTCCTACCTTAATCAGAAAACACCAGGTCTTCCCCCACCTCAATTTCAATATCCTAAGTTGGGGAAGTATGGCATTTGGGCAGGTTACTGAAGAAGCTGGAGTAAACAGCTCTGTTCCTTTGCGCTGCATTTCTAGATAAGAGCACATCACTAAGAGCCCTGTCAGCCAAGCCCCTAAGATGTTTCCCCGGGCAGGAGTTCACAAAGCTCCCTTCGGCGCTGCACAAAAGGCACCCTTTCTCTTTCCTTTTTCCTGCTCTCTTTACGGTAAAAAGTTGCTTTTGTGGCTGTTTTCCAGTAGGTTATGACAACTACAGAGAGGTTTTACTAAGGTCTTCTCACGCTGGTGGGCAGTGAGGGACTGACCCCACCATCCATCTCTGGTGCCCTGCAGCGCCCTCCCCCACTCCTGAGTTCTGCACGACCCTTTCCCTCAGTGTTCCTTCTCCCTCCCGCCGTAGAAAAGCAGGCAGCAGCGGCCTTGGAAAGAGTTACTTCATCCATTGGCTAATGGGTCACATATTCCAGGGAAAGGGTCCAGGTATGGAAAGAAGGGGCAGTGAAGGAGCAAGGAAGATTAACGGTGCAGTTTGTAGGTCTGGGTAGAAGGTGATAAAATTCCAGTTTCGGGGTGAAATGGGAATACGCTCCCACTGGACCTGCATGTTACCAGCTCTCCTGTGCACGCTGGCATCTGCCCAGACTTCTGTCTGGCACCTCCACTAAATACCTAAAAGAATCCGTTTCGTTCCAAAGCTTCACCAGTGTGTGTGTGTGGGGGGGGGGGGGGGGGGAGCTGGCAAAGGTCTAGCCAAGCACTTTGATCTATGCAGGGGGTCTCAAGGGACTGAGCCCGTGGAGAGGTGGGAGGGAGAAAGCGGCTCTTACATAGGCTGCCAACCGCGCATTCCCTAAAGACGCGTCATTCCCTTTATGAGCCTCGGCCTCAGTGAAGGGTTGGAGCAAGAGGTTCCCAGCTCCATTAAGGAAAGTTTAGCTTTTCTATTCTTTATGATGTTAGCTTTAAAAGAACAAATCACTAGGGCAAAAGATCATTCCAAAAGAAAAAAGCCTCAGATGAGCTGGGAATAGATCCTATTCTCTGTGACTCGTGTCTAAGAAAATAAAAAGCAAACTTGAACCGTAGCTGACTCTCAAGAGCAATTCCATTTGGCAGCGAAAACCCAAACCCAAACTAGCGCCGTCCTTGCAATTCAAACAACACTGCGCTCCTGGCACACAGCTGAAGGCAAGACTGTCTGATAGGAGCCTTATGCCAAGGTCACAGAGACAAGAGAGAGCCACGGCATGCCACCATGCTTTATGTCACCCAGGGCCGAGGGGCTCCAGGTACCAGGCAGGACCTGTGGCTGGGGCCTGATGCTGTAGTAGCTGCTCTGCCAGAACTCGAGTCTGTCTATCACTTCTCCAGCAAGAACAGTCCGGCCATAACTGTTCACTGGACATGGATCCAGACTGATCCTGAGGACTTTCCAAATGAAAGACTTTACAAAGTTCCTTTCTTGCACACATAGATAATAGCTCAATGTGAAAATAATAACTGGGAAATTTAAGATGGAGTACTGACCACACACACACACACACACACACACACACACACACACACACACACACGACGTTTTCTACCCCAACCTTTCCTTCCAGAGATCACTGGAAAGAAAGAAAGGATATTTTCAAAGGAATGAAATAATAACAAAGACTAGAAAAAAAGCAAAAGGAGCATGAATAGATCAAACATCTAAGTAAATCTTCAAAGACAGGGAGCAGATAAGATCAAGGGAAAAACAAAAACAGAGCAGAGCAGTGTGAGCCCCAGCCCCAAATACCAGGTAATGAAGATTCCCAGAGGCCCCTGCAAAGGTACAGGCTGGCAGTCAGCATGAACAAGAGTAGGGTGGGCCAAGGAACAAGAATGGGACAGTGAGGCCGCGGGAGTTCTCCAACACCCCAAGCGGTAGCATAGACATCAGAAGATCAAATCTAAGGTGGTGCTTAAAGGCCTTTTATACAGGTGCAGGGTTCTCACGGAGGAGAAAAGGGCCTGAAGCCGCTCTATCCCCAACAGGCATTAAAAAGAGAAAAAAAAGTAACTTTGCCCAAGATGGAACTCACCATAAGCTTCTCCCCACAGGAGAGCCCTCCCTGTCTCGGAAGGTAGAAGACACACTCTTCACCCAAACCTACCTATGGAAGCCAATGGTCAGCATGCTTCACCCTTACCAGGAGAGGTATGGGGGGGGGGGTACAACATTACATCATAGGGAAGCTCACAGCCTCCAGTTTCACTTATAAAATAGCTAATATCTAAGGATTCTCAAACTTGAGAAAAATCCTCCATCAGAAAGAAAGACAATCCCAATAAAAAGGCAAGAACAGAAGAGTGTTTCAATAACATTTTAGTGGTATCCTTGCAAATGTGGGTATCTCATGTACAATGATAAATAGGAGTACAGATGAAAATCAGAAAATAAGCATCCCTGGAAATTCAGTATATAGCCAATGGAGGAAAAGACCCAGGGCTCTTTAAACAGGGGACAACAAATGGAGACAGAGGCCTAGGAGACGACTTAGTGGGTAAGGCTTGCTGTACAAGCAAAGGACAGGAGCTCAGATCCTCAGGAGCCATGGGAACGCCCAGTGAGTGCAGCAGAAGCAGAGACAGAGCCATGAACACTAACAATGAGCCCTGACAAACGCTGAGCCTGACGGAAAGACCACTTCCGGGAATACAGTGAAAGAGCAATCCAAGATGCTAGATACCAATCTTGGGCCTCCACACATGCTCCCATGGAAAAAAACATACAAATATGCACACACCATACAAATATCCACATGAGAAAAAGAAGGAAAATAGGAAAAGAGACAAAGAAGGATACTTTTACCCAAAGTAAATGAAAAATAGATAGCACCCACCAAATGTCCAGAAGGAAAAGAAATAAATAAATCAATCAGTTTGGATTTAAATGCTGGTTAAATTTGAGAATCCTAATCCTACAGTCTATTTCTACTGAGCTTAAGTTTTCAATGAACTTATAAAGGAGGAGAAATCACAGTTATTAAAAAGAATTGTAAATGTTATACAACTCATAAAATCTAAAACCAATTAAACTTAAGAGATGGACTACAGAAGGACAGGTAGGAGTGATATGGGTGTAATAAATGTAAATCAGGGGAATTACCAAATATAGTAAGAATCTGAGGAAAGAAGAAATATAAAATCAACTGTGTTATGGGAAGTCCAGCAAGTGAGACTGGAGTTGGCATTTTATTTTACTTACTTGTTTGTGTTGTTGTTGTTGTTGTTGTTGTTGTTATTATTATTATTATTATTATTATTATGGCACTGAGGATTGACCTCAGAGCCTCGTATTATTATTATTATATTATGATGATGATGATGATGATGATGATGATGATGATGATGATGATGGTGGCACTGAGGATTGACCCCAGAGCCTCGTGCATGCTAGACAGGGCCTCTTACCACTCAGCCATGCCCCCGTCCTGTATTAATTGTTCAAACAACATTTAATGAGGAATTTGCCAAGGATCAAGCTATTGGCGGCCTCTGAAGGAAAGGAAAATAAAAGAGAAGAGCAGGAGAAGGAAGAGAAGGAGAGAGAGAGGCAGCAATGACCCACTGATGGACAGCTGGATGCTCAGGAGCTGACGGGACAGCATGCTGAGAGAAGACACCTCTTTTGTGCTACTACAAAAGGCTGCCTGCCTTCCCCCCAAAACACATCTAGCAAGTGGCATTTTGGCCATGGACTACGTGTGTCCCAGCAAGGAAGGAGGCTCCCAGCAGAGTGAAGAGCAGCCAGTGCACACCCAGCTTCCACTCACTTCTGACCTCAGTGCAGAAGGAAATACCGCTCACCTAAGTGCCAGGCCGGCCCTCTCTGCATACTTACATTGTTGATCAAGTAGACGCCCCGCCCCCTAGAAGAGGCCACTGGTTTTACTATCCAAGGTCCCCGGTCCTTTGAATATGAATCTGCTCAAAATATTGGGAGATAAAAAGGGAAGAGAAAAACAAAGAGAAGAAGGCGCATGAGTTTATTATCTTCAACTGCAACAATAGTAATCTCTTAGGTACCCAAAGAACCTTCCAGATCTCCAGCTGGGAGCAACAACTCATCGTCTATGTTTTCAGAGAAACCTTAAAAAGGGAAATAGGGCAGGAAGAAACGGAAAAAGAGGGAAGGGGAAGAGGATAGCAAATTACTCACATAGTCTATCTTCTGCTATTTCCTCTTCCTTACATAAGGACGGAAACAAGGTCAAATCTGAATGTTAGTCAGTTACCAAAAACGACCTTCGGGAAACTGAAAATCTCATTTTCATTAACTGAAAGACTGCCAGGAGATAGAGACAACTGAGTTTTTTACTTTATCTCCAAATACAGTTACTTCCTGTGAATAAGTCTTCACATCTCATAAACCAGGCAGAGTGTTAGGGCAAGGAAGCATCATGATTTACAAGTACAAAGGGTCTGCCTGGTATCCAGCTTCAGTTCTTTGGGCCGTAAGAAGAGACAGCAGAAAGCTGGCACTGAGACTCCCCAGGACTCCTGCATGGTCTAGGGAGAAGCCAAGGGCTCTGCCTTCCACTTGGGGAATGTCCTAGGGTGGGGGTGGTGTACTGCTGAGGGAAACCCCAGGAAAGAGAGAGCTGGTGGCAATCTCCACTCTACGGCAGTCCTTTCTTCTTCTGATGAAGCCCCACACCCACTGTCTGGAAGAAAGGAAAGGGAAAGGAAGGGCTGAAAACTCAGGTACTGGTGTCTTGCTATTTTTCTGCTCTGAAAGAGAGTGCGGTGTGTGAAGAAATAAAATCAAGTGAGTGAAAGTGTTTCTGGGCCTCTCAAACGCCCAGCTGTTTTACATCAGAATAACATCATTTTATCCAGAACACAAAAGCATAAACCCAATAAAGTTCCCTCAAGTTTATGGTCTCTGGTTTGAGTTATTAAAAGGCCAAGTGCTGCCATCCGAGTGTGTTAATCCCACCTCTGCTCTTCCCACGTAGACACAAACGTCCCCTAACTCTGAGCAGGGTCCCACCCAGGCAGACCTCGGGACTCCAGCAACCAAGTGCCTGGCCCCAGCAACAGCCCCAGGGCACCATATCTTCCCAGACCACTCACCAGCCTCCTCTTCCCTCTCCCCTCGGCAGGAGCCAAAGCCCTTTTTATGCTCCAAACAGGAACTTGACTTTGTCAGTACCACAACCCACTTTACCTGAAGAGACTAGGGGAGGGACCTGGGCACCTTTGTCCACCCTTCCCCATCTTGCCTTTTCCCTGGATGGAATTTAACAGAATTCGCAGGCAAAGGAAAAAAGTACCATGCAGAATCTAAAGTATCCAGATATAAATAGGTTTAGAATTGTATCTTCTACCTCTGTTCGTAAGTGTGCAGAACATATACAGGGGCTGGAAACATGGTTCAGCAGCTAGGAGCACTTGCTGCTCCTCCAGAGCATCTGTCTAGTTCCCAGCACCCATGTTGGGTGGCTCACAACCTCTTGGAACTCCAACGCCAGGAACTCTTCTTCTGGCCTCCTCAGATGCCTGCATACACTTGACATTCACACACACACACACACACACACACACACACACACACACACACAGTAGGATTTTTAAAGATTTACTTTTAAATTCTGTGTGTGTGTGTGTGTAAAGTTATCCCATGCTATGCTATAAAAGCAAGAGATTAATTAAATCTACTCTATCATATCTACATGAGGGGCTGCAAACTATGAAAATCTGGACCATATGCAATTTTGGTTTTATAGGAAATGCAAACTTTGTTGTAAGAGTTCAACTCTATTGCTGCAGCTTGAAAACACATAATCCTCAAAGGACAGTGGCCATGTTCCCACAGAACCTCATTTATACACTGAATTTTTCATGCCATTTCCATATGCCACGAAGCTACAGTCATCTGGACATTAACCATTTGAAGATGTAAAAAGCATCCTTAACTCACAGGGATGGCTGCAAACAGGCAGAGGACGGAATAACTCAAAGGCTGCATTTGCAGGCACCTGATCTACACGAGAGAACCTTCAACAAGCGTACACAATGAGAATATCATTAATTGACTGATGTTGAACGATCCACGGAAGGAAAAAAGGCACAAGGCAATAGCTACTGCATGCTTCCCTCCCTACCCAGACACACTCCAGCTGATGGACATCTCTAGACATTCGAGAACGTCTCCAGAAAGACATGCACAAACTAGCAGCAAGCACCAGTGAGCCCCAGGGAGACAGCTGAGAGACCTATGAACCAAAAGAGGCTTCTTGCTCTTGCGGCTGGAGACATGGCTCAGTGCTTAAGAGTACTGATAACTCTTCCAGAGGACCCGGGTTCCATTCCCAGCACCCACACGACAGCTCACAACTGTCTGGGATCTGATACCCTTTCACAAGCACACACACAGGCAAAACACCAATGCACATAAAAATAAATTAAAAAAAAAAAAAGAGGCTTCTTCCCTGGTTACTGTTTTATATAGTTTTACACCATGGAAATATATTACACTTTCGGGGTTGGGGATTTAGCTCAGTGGTAGAGCGCTTGCCTAGAAAGCGCAAGCCCTGGGTTCGGTCCTCAGCTCAAAAAAAAAAAAAAAAAGAATATATTACTCTTTCGAAAAACGTAATTTATATCATATCAAAATAGTGCTATAGAAGAAAAGTTTATAGTTACATCTGAGAAAAAATGAAATCTAAATAAAATGAGGCCACTAAAGACAAAGTATCTTTGTCTTTAGGTTTCTGAGGAAGCCATGAGACAGAGCACGTTGTGCTTTGAATACGACATGTCCCCACATAGGCTCAGTTCAAACACTTGGTCCCCGGCCAGTGGCACTGTTTGGAAAAGTTATGGAAACCTCATGGAGGTAGCGCCTCACTGGAGGAAGTGAGTCACTGAGGGTGGGCCTTGAGGCGTTACAGCCCAGTCCCACTTCCTGTTCACTCTTTATTTCCTGAGTGTAGAGGCAATGTGACCAGTCAGCTTCCTGCTCCAACCACAGCCTCTTCCTCCCTACCAGTTTCTCCCGCGCGGTGAACTGTATCCTCTGGAACTGCAAGACAAAACACACCTTTCTCCCTTGAGTTGCTTTTGTAGATGATTTTGCCACACCAAAAGAAGAGAAGCTAAGACAAGAAGCTATTAATATAAAAACAAAAACAAATTAAATTTTCTAAGCACCATGCATTCATCATCTGTCAAGCAGTTTCCTAGAGTGGGATATACAGTCGGAAAATAGTCTTCTACCTCACAAAGTGTAGGCTAGCAAACAGACACAGTAAAGAAGCTTACAGACACTCAGAGTTAGGAAGTGTTGGGTGCTATAAAACGTCTAAGAAGATGACCAATGCTGCCTGGAGACAATACCCTCCACAGCACCACCAGATGTTGAAAACTCCTTTTCAGAAGAAGGTAAGTCTAGCTACATGCAGCATTTGCTACCAGCATGCTGCTCGATGGACCCTGCTTTGTGAACTCGTTTTCTGGGAAGCTAGCATTCTGGGCTCAGGAGGTGGCTCAGGAGTCGCACACTTCCACAGCATGCACGGAATGTGTTCAGTCCTCAACACTGCAAGGAAAACAGGTTGTTTTTTCATTAAAAATTTGAATTCCTGGCATGGTCTGTGAGTTCTAGTGTCAGGATTCATCTTCTGTGCTGCGTTTTCACACTGATTTGTGATATTTTAGAACAAAGATCTATTTCTTTTGCACATGTTAAAAAAAAAAAAAGCAAGAAGCAAGAAAATCAGAGGCAAAAGCAGGGCAGAGGTTGGAGCAGTCTGCTTGGATGGAGACATTAGAGACAACTTCGACAGGCCTTTCCATCACCTTCCAGTTCCAGTGACAGCGTGGTCAGTACAGTGGAAAGGACACTCAGCCAGGAGCAGGAGCAGCTTCAGTTTTTCAGGTATGATGATGCTATTGGACACTGTTCTTAAACTCCATAGTCTTGTCTTCAAAATGACGGCTTTCATAGCATTTACTAAGATCTCTTTTAAAATTATGGTCCTAGAAATATACATTCTGCATTGAAATCTGAGTGTCTTCACTAAACTGCATGATACCACAACTGTGTTCACACCTCAGAACTATTTCTCAGTCTCCATCATCAGCAGAGATGCCACAGAACTGAGTTCCGGGAGGAAGCTCTGCTTGTCAGCCTCGTCTTCCTGCCTCACCGTGGTCTGCTTGAGGGAAATGGCTGTAGTAGTCTCGGGTCACACACCTTCAGTTCTAATAAACATAACTGGAAATGAGGCTCCGGGAACCTAGAGGATCTGTGCTGTGGGCTCCGAGCCCTGCTCACTGTCGACTCCCAACAATTCAGGCGACCCTCAGGCTTTCATCTCTCGGCTACAGTGACTGGCTCCCGGGCTCAATCTTTCCACATATGAACTTAAGACTTTTTCTTATTATGACAAAAAGCTAATCATCTTGAGATCACCTTGGCTCATCTTCCCAGTGTCTCTGAAAAGCCTTACGTCCTGCTCAATCCCATCAAAGGCCCTGTCAGGACCTTCCTGCCCATTTAAGAAACATAAACCCACACTTTGCCCTCACCCTTGGCATAAGCCCAGTATACTACCCTCCTTTCTCCGCAGGCTGGGAATTCATCACATGAACCTCGCACGCTTTCTTCTCCATGCCAAGTCTTACCCGGCCAGCACTGGGCCTTCTTCCCTCCCTCCTTTTAGGGAAGACACGCCCAGCTCCTTTCTGAAGTGGACTCGGTGACTTGAGCCACGCCTCTTCTGAGACCTCCCTCCCATGTTCTTCCACCCGGCTCTCTGTGGGTCAGCTTCTCTGTCTTCTTGGATCTCTCGGTCATCACTTTCATCTGGAACCTCCAGAATCGGTATCTTTAGCCAAACTCAGAGTTGCTTTTATAGCTGTCTGCAAAACATCACTGCATGCTTTCCCCCACGGCATGTCAAATGTACACCATGTCCAAAGTGAACATGCCTCTTTCCTGTCATAGCTCCTCTTGTATGTTCCTGGTTATATTCTTGCTTAGACTTACAAGTCCCGGTGGGACAGTAGTTGTTCCTACCTGTAATCTCAACTGAAGCAGGACTGCTAGGGCCCAGGAGTTTGAGGCCAGCCTGGGCAACCACCCTCACTACCCCCCAAAGCCCCTCCCTGAGGTCTCAGTGATCCTCAGAGCTTCTCTAACTCACATCTTTGGAGGCCTATTTGGACCTTCCAAACCACCACTTCGTCTTCTCGCGGCTTCTTTATTCCATGGTACCCACTGCTGGCTAGTGTTTCCATCTCTGTTCTTCTCAAAAATCTCCTACTGCCTACAGTCAACTAAGCCAACTAACAATGAACAGAATTTCAAAGTTGCATGTGCTTGAGGGACACCGAGGAAAAAGAAGGTTCTTTGAAAGAGATTCTAGAACAAAAGGATTGTCTCTTTGAGGAGGAAATGGCTAGTATGAAAAGGCAGCTTTCTGCTCCACCAATGGGAACTTGGGAACACGACTGGCCTGACAACACTGGACTTTTCAGTCATGGTGTTAAGTGTCGAACAGAAGCCAGAAACCCTGCACCAGCAGCTCAGAATGCCTGACGCCCTGCAAGAGGATCCCTCTTCACTGCACATCTTTCCTACCCTGCTCTTCCTGCTGTGAAGAAAAGAAGTCCCCGCTGTGGTCTGCAGGCGGAAACAGAAGCCGGTGATTTGCACTGGTGCTCGGGCACACCACTTGCTGCATGTGCTGGGTCTAAATGTGGTGGCGCTGTGTCTCTCAGGGTCAGTTTGGTACAGCAGAACTTGGGAGGGTTGGAATGACTGGCTGAAGACACAGTTCCACTGCAACACGGCAGGCAGGCAGGAGCTGGCAGTGGAGCCCACCCTGTGCCATCCTCTATCAAGATCCCAACCCTCCTTCTGCCGCTGCCCCCAGGGCGGGAGGACCGCATCGGAGGAGGAAGAAGTGACAAAGGACTAAGAAATTCAAACTCGACTCCTTCAAACTTCAAGAGGAGTTCCCTCGAGGATGAGTATTAGGAGCCCTTCATGTCGTTCACCATTAGCCTATGATCATGGCTGCCATTCACATGTGCCTACCTGCCCTGTGCTCTGGACTCTCCTTACATCACACCTACTGGAGTCAGGGTCTGGTGTGAGGGGGAGAGCTGGAAACAACCCAGCTGCTCAGCCAGGCCCGGGAAGGTGAGTCCAGTGAGGCCAAAGCAACCAGAATCCATTACAGACTGGGTCAGGCCGCATGTTCCTTCAGTTTACCAGCACTTCAGCTGACAGTCAGATCCCCGTTAGACAGATGCCTATGCATAGTTTTTATTAGGATGACCACCAAACGCTTCACAACTAAAGCCGCGATGCTGGCCCCGGTGGCAGCCTCCGGTCTCAGCACTCGGGAGGCAGAAGCAGGTGGAACTCTGTAGTTCGAGGCCAGCCTGGGCTACAGACATAGCAACTTCTAGGCCAGCTGGAGACACACAGTGAACCCATCTCGAAAGGCCAACGAGCAAGTACAAATTTTAAAGACATGACACTTGTTCTCCAAAGGACGTAAGTCCAAACGTCAAGGCAGCAAGACGTTGTAGTAGGAAATGGAGAAGAGACACCACAAAGAAAACACGTAGTTCACAGGAACAAGATGCCTCAACACATACTGACTCTCATCAGTGAAGAGACAAACGGGCAAAAATAACCAAGACAGGATGTGCCTGGATGACACCAATGTGTCCTTACATAAATGATTACTGTCACCCTACCGCAAATTAAACATAGAAGAGCACCATCCAAATATAAGTAATTTCAATTTTATGTTTATAACTGCTCTTCCCAATTAAGCACAAATTGTTCAAAGATCTGGAAAGCCCCAGCTAGCTGGAAGATCAGCAATGTCAAGTCCAGATGCTAGGGCCCCCTCAGTGAGCACTTACTACAGAACTCCGCGTACTCAGCTGGCAGGAGGAAGGTCTGAGGGAGGATGTGGAAAGCCTTGAATCCATGCGTGTGTTGCATTCGAATGATGTTTTTGTACAGGCGGTCCTTCCGGGTTAGTTCATATGACCTGCAAAGCAAGAAATTTTTTTCCATTTCAGTGAATTATACCTACAAAGGTTTCCTCAGTTACCACACTGTGAAGAGCTCAAAGCACTGAGTTCTGAAGCAGTTACTAAAGACAGTAGATTATCCCAAATCTATCATGCTGCCACTCCAAAAGCCTTATTAAACATTTTCCTCAAATAGACATTTTTGATCAGATTTATTCACTTGTAGAATAAAATCCCCCATTTTCCGTGTGTAATTCTGATGTGTTGATTAGGTAGTGTCCACCAGAATCAAAATCCAGGACAATACTAATATCCAAAAGTAGCTTCAATTCCCTTAGTCAGTTCTTTCGATCGCTGCCAGACACAGGGCAAACATCTGTTTTCACTTCTTTCCAAACAGATAAGCAGGATCATGTACTATGTATCCTTTCTTCTGAGCATGAAACATCTCAGCTTTATCCCTATTGGTTGCATATATTAGTATTTTATTCTTTTATGTGTTCAGTATAAGTTGTGGTGTGGATGTACCACAAGTTTGTTTATCTTTTCAACAGTTGAAGGACATCTGGATTACTTCCAGTTTAGAGAAGATTGTGAATAAAGTTGCTTGAAAGCACTTACATATAGACTTTTATATAAACATCGAATTTTTATACAAACATTTCCATTTTCCCAGGTGTGGGCCTGCTATGTAGTTTACCAAGTTATCTATTGCTAGATAATAAACAACCCCAAAATATAGCAGCTTAAAATAGTAGTTCACATTTATGATGTCAGTTTCTGTGGGCCAGCAATGTGGGATGACAGAACTGGGTAGTTCTGTCTCAGACATCTGATGAGGTTACAGTCCAGATGCGTGCCTACACTGCCATCATCAGGCCCAGCTAGGATGGAGCACGCACTGTTCAGGATGCTCACAGGTACTGAGCTGGCTGCCAATGAGAGGCTTCAGTTCCTCAGGCGAACCCTTCCACAGGCTGCACACTTTCATGACATGCTGCTGACTTCTCCTGGGCCCACTGATCTGAGGAAGAGGTTGCAATGTCTGTTATGACCTAGTCTCCAACAAGGCATTGCACCACTTCTGCCACATTCCATTTGTTAGAGGCAAATCCCTAAGTCTGGTTGACACTCAAGAACAGAAAAATTTAGCTCAACCTTTTGAAGGAAGTGTCAAAGAATTTACAGACACATTTTACATTCACCACAGAAGTACATGTTTAACTTTATAAGAACTGCCAGCAGTTATTCTGAGGATACTGGAAAAAACAGGCTCAGTTTCTCCTACCATATTCTGAGATATGGAGGAAATACCAACGCGTTTTCCTAGTCTCCACTCGCAGCTCCACCTAATTACTCAACACTCCTGACACCAGCTTGGAGGGGAGGGAGGGCTTTCCCACTGCAGATGCCCCTGGGTGTCCTCTAATTCAGTTCTGACACTGTCTACCTGGAGGTGGCATCCGATCCCTCAGGATGAAGGCTCAGTCCCCAAGCCTGACCCTAGTTCTAAGTGGCAGACTGTTTTATCTGTGCTTCTCACCAGTCACCCCAGACCTTTTCTTTGGGTTTGATGAGTTTGCGTGAGTAGACAACTGAACTCAGTAAAACACACTGGTTGACTGTAAAGCCTATTACAAAGAGTGCAGATTAAAGACATGTACATGGATGAGATGTGGAGGAGGGGATACAGAGCAGGGGATACTGTACCTGCCAGGACCTCCACATGTTCAGCTATCCAGCTCTCCAAACTTAGTCCTTTGGGGCTAGTAATGGAAGCATCACTAAGTAGGTACGACTAAGTCGCTGGTCACTGGTGATCATGTTAAAACTTCAACCCTTCCCCGCCTTCCTGAAGGCTGAAGGGCAGATTGAAACGCCAACCTTCTTACCAGGATTCAGCCTTTCCTATAGCCTGTGAACATCCTGAAACCACCTAGAGCCTGCCAGTCACCAGGCAATTGGTTAGCATATAAAAAGACACTCTGGCGATTCTAGAAGATAAAAATCAAGACTAAGATATTTCACAATTTCCAGGTATCCGAGGTGGTTGTACCACTTTGCACGCTCACCAGCAATGTACTAGCGTGCCAGTCACCATGTACCCCAGCTAGAAGCACTTAGTGTGGTCTGATGTTCAAAGCCGCTTGAATAGGTGTGTATCAGTACCTCAAGTGATTGGAATTTGTATTCCACTACTGACTAACGATGCTGAATATCTTTAACTGACCACACATAAATTTTCCTTGATATATCCATTTAAAGTTTTCCCTATTTTTATAAATTTGTTTAACTACACACACACACACACACACACACACACACACACACACTCATAGAAGTATCCACTAATCTTTTTTCCATTTTGAAAACTAAGATTGTTTTCTTACTACTAAGTTATCAGAATTTGTGATATACTTTGGATACAAACTCTTAAATCAGAGACATGTTCATAAATACTTCTCCAGACTATGATTTGTTTCCCGCTCTGGTGAAGTCCCCTTGTGTTTTTGTCTTTTATGCATCAAGCTTTGTTCTAGCTAAGAAACCTTTGTCTAAGCAAAGATCATCACGATTTCCTTTATGTGGGGTTTATGTTTAGAACTTACATCTATGATCTTTATTCCAAATGGGTTTTTTAAAACCTGATTTACAAGTATAAAATCTGTTTTAAAACAGATTTTGAACATAAATATAAAAGATGTTTAAGCCTAACTTTTTATAAATATACTCAAAATTTTAGACTATAAGAATAAAATACCTTAAATATCCGAGACTTTATCTAACAGAGCTACAGTATGAGACCCTGTTCCAAAATAAACAAACACAAAATGATCTGTCATTAAAATTAATGATCTATCAGCTGACAACCTGTTGTGGAATAATCTTTTTGTGGACTGTGAAGATGTGTCATTCTGATTGGTTTAATAAGAAGCTGGACGGCCCATAGCTATGCAGGATTTCCAGGCAGAGAGAACACTGGGAAGAAGGGAGGAGATGCCAGGAGACGCAGAGGAAGCAACATGGGTAATACAGAGTACAGGTAACCAAGCCACATAAAAGAATGTAGACTGAAAGATATGGGTTAATTTAAGTTATAAGAGCTAGTTAGAAACAAGCCTAAGCTATTGGATTCATGATTAATAATAAGTCTCAGTGTTGTTATTTAGGAGCTGGCTGGTGGGACAGGGAAAGACTGGCTACAACAACCAATGTTATCTCTCAAATTTGTAAAACAAACATGGAAATCACCTTCACATAAGGAGGAAGTGTTATGCTGTCACTGGAATCTGATCTCAATTTGTTTGTTGTGTCTTTGGGATCCTAATTTTCTTCTTCTGTTTTTTTTGAGACAGAGTCTCATATAGTCTATGGTGATATTTTATTTGTGCTGAAATGTGATTTTATTTGTATGTTAATAAAGTTGCCTGGAGATCAGAAGCCAGAGCGAGCCATAAGCGGGAGTCAGGCGGTGGTAGCACATGCCCTTAATCCGATCACATGGCAGGCAGAGTCTCCGTGGTCAAGGACACATCCAACATAAGGTGACCCGAACCTTTAATCTCAGTACCAACCATAGAGACCTGGAGGTCTGTATAGACAGACAGTGATGAGGAAATCATGTGGTTGGGTTTAGAGCCAATGAGAAGGCAGAACAGAAAGGCAATAAAAAGACAAGTCACACAGGACGAAGGTCTCTCTCTCAGGGGAAGGACGGCAGCGAGTGGTAAGATAAGGTGGTCTTAGCTCTTGGCTACTGCTCGATCTCTGGGCTTTTAACTCTGCATTTGGCTCTGTGTTTCTTATTTAATAAGACCGTTTAGAACTGCATCTATAATAGTCTAAGCTGGACTTGATTTGTTCTGGAACCAAGGCAGGCATGAATTCAGCCTCCTGCTCTATGTCCCAAGTGCAAGGATTTATGAGCATGTGCCATCACACCTAGCTTGGAACCCTAAAGCTATATGCCTAAGGACAATGCAGCATATTAAGATAGGAGTTGAGTCATTCTTTAGTAGAAATGAAAATGTGTGTGAAAGGAAGGTGAAAAAGGAGACCTCCCCCACTGAAGATGCTATGAACAACCTCAACTTTAGGAAAGAGCATTGGAAAATGTCTCTTTAAAACCTTTCACATCACTATAGCCCTTCAAGAGTCTCCACCTCCCAGGGACATGAACACCTCAGCCTCCAGTATGGGCTATGGCACTTGCCAAGTTCCTTCTTCTTCCATTCCCCTAAGAACATGACACCTCTCCTCTGGCCACACGTTCCGATGACAGCTACCTTTAAACCTGCAAAACACCTAGAGGCCCATTACCTGGGGAAGTGATTAACTTTCTGTGCTTCAGAAAGGGTTCGAAGTAAGAAGGGCTTCAGGTGGGATCCTGTCCACATCAGGTTATAGTCAGTGCTGCTCGGGTGAACCTAGTCACAGAAGACACATGGAAAACAAACAAACAAAAATAAGCAGCAGCCTGTTTCCAGAGGAGCAGTGACAGAGAAGGTCAACGGTTTCTCATCTACAGAGGACTCTCGGCATGACCCAGTTACTACATACAAGCCCATTATTGCAGCAGAGTAGCACAGCAAACCATGTAATGAGGGTTAAAGAAAGGGAGAGCAGGGAGGCCCCAAACACAACCAATAAAATAAATCAACCCTTCTGAACAAGTCAATGATGTCTAATACACTTACATATCACAGTATGCCTCAAAACTGCACTCCAGACTCCTTTTTCTCAGACCTCCCTTATGTCCTTGTAGATCAAAACTAAAGCCAGACCTGGAGGACTTGGTGGTTAAGAGTATGTACTGTTCTTGGGAAGGACCTAAGTTCAATTCCCAGCACCTACACTGGGTGGCTCATAACCACCTACAACTCCAGGTAGAGGGGGCGCTGATGCCTCCGGCCTCTCTGGGCACCTACACTCTCATGCATACCTCCACACACAGACACGTAATTAAAAACTAGAACAGTAAATCTAAGAAAAAGTTTTAAACCCTAGATTTTCTTTAATCATTCATTAGAATTCATTTGTCCATTCATTATTAATTGTGTACTCTGCCCATATAACACACTAGGACAATGACAAATGCTGGAGACAGAAAAGCAACGGGACAGGACATGAACAGCATGAGGTCCCCAAGTGCCCCCTATTGGTACCAACCTAGAATAAGCAGCTAGTGACCAGACTTTCATCAGTGGTCTCTCAGTAGTGGTGGACTGTGTAGCATCTGTACCTGTCCCTTTCAATGACAACATCTCGTTTTCGCAGATTTCTTAGGGGGATAATTTGCTCCTGGATATTAAAGTACCTGCCAGTCACCCATCCACCCTCTTCTCCATACCAGATCCATGACCTAAGCTGGCCCAACAATTCTATCACCAGAAAAAGGCACAAGGACAATGAATGGAGTCCAGTAACTTCCACAGCAGTGTGTTGAGATAAACCTAGAGAGTCCTGCCCTTCAGTCCCTGAGGCTGCTGTGGCCTCTCCCCTTCTAAGGAAGCCTCTGCTTCTATGAACCACCCTCCCCATAGCACTCTGCAACTCTGTCTTGGTTCCAGTTACAGGGTCTGCTTCTGTTTTGTGCAACCAAAGAACCCCAAAGAGATATCAGGTAACTCCTGATGGTTGACTCTGCCCAAATCTAAGATCATCACAAGAAAGGGGGAGAGGGGATGCTGTGGAAATGCTTCCCATGTACCACAAGGAGAAACTGCTGGTAGTACCAAGTTCTGCAGAGCCTCTAATCACTGGTCCCATGCGCTTCCTAGCGCGGCCTCTGCAGATGGATAAAGTCAGTTAGGTAGCTAGGATTTCAGCTTTTGAGGCGATCAGGTGAGGTGAGGTCATAAAAATGAGCTTACTTCATGAAATCCATGGGCTGTCAGAATGCTTCGCACCAGGCGACTGTCCGTTCTCACAATCTTATAAGACAAATGATAACGCTCTAAACAAAAATACAGAATCAAGTTCAGTAGCCAGAAAGTTGAATTGCAAAGACAAAAATAAACAGCAACATGGAAACTTGATTAATGCACTCAATGGTGTTATACTGCTGCCCTTAAAGTGACTCTAAATCAGTTGAGGAGACTTAGAGCCAAGGCTTCCTTTAAATGCATTTTCAGTATTGGATTGTGATGGGGACTTGTGCAACTACGGCGTGTGTGGAGGACACAGGACAACTCTGTGCAGCTGGTCCCTCCTCCCTTCCTTGGAGTCCAGGGGTTGAACTCGGGTCCTCAGGCCTGCAGGACAGGCACTCCATACTCTGAGCTATGTTGCCGGCCAGAGAGCAAGGGCTCTTAAGCTAAGAGATGCTGGGGCTAACTCAGTACAGAAAGGGGAGCAGACCTGCATCATCTCTGTTTTCACTACTTTCCAGGTGGAATTTAACAAGGCTTTCCAGGCGGTACCGGCGCACGCCTTTAATCCCTGCACTTGGGAGGCAGAGGCAGGAGGATCTCTGTGAGTTCGAGGCCAGTCTGGTCTTCAAAGTTGAGTTCCAGGACAGTAGGGCTACACAAAGAAACCCTGTCTCAAAAATAATACAAAAAACAAACCAGCAAAGCAATGCTTTCTTCCATGAGGAGTGTAGGCAACCAAAGCAGGAAGTGTAAGAGTGCTGTGGCCCTGCCACCAGAGACGCTAGGCGTTGAGTTCACTTCACAGTTGGTACAGTGTTCACAGTACTTACAAGTTATGGTAGTTAGCAAACCAGTGCACTAAGAAAAACTATGTATGTCTTGAATCTGGGGGTTGGGTTACATTTTTATTTTTTAGTTTCTTGACAGAAGGCTATACTAGTAGCCTAGGCTGGCCTAAAACTTGCTGTGTAGTCCATACTAGCCTCAAACATGTACTCCTGCCTTCAAGAATCAGAGGCATGCACCACCACATCCAGCTATTTATCTTTTTAATATTTTAATTACTATAATTCAATACAATTCATTTCCTTTCTAACTATTTGTCTACTTTTCCATCTTAAAATCATCACTCTGGGAAAACGTCCTTAGACTTTTCTAGACTGAGAAGTAGGTCCACTGTCCTTAAAAGGCTAAGGGCCCCTGCTCCAGACAGCCCTCTATGTCCTCGAATGCTGATTACCAGACATCTTAGACCAGAGGTCTCTCCAATAGGAAAAAGCCAGCAGGAACCTCCAAATGCCCCTTTAAGACAGGCCCATACTACCAGGCCAGCTTGGCACCAGCCTCCTGCCCTTGTGAACATTTCCTACTGGCCCCTGGAGACAGAATGTTTTCCTTGATCCTGTCTGATAGAAAAATCTGTAATCACGTGAGCATTTACTCTGTGCTATGACACTAAATTTTCCTATACGCCCCTACAAACTGAGAACGTTAGCTAAGAATTGTACAGAAATTCTTTTTGCTATTTTTTTTTTTTTTTTTGAGACAAAGTTTACCCCAGCTCAGGCCTCAGTCCTCCAAGGGTTGAAATCACAGGCACAAGCCTGAACACCTGGCTCCGGACCAGTACTTTTAAAGGACTGCATCCTAAACGAGTCTGAATGAGAACAGTGCAGATATCTATTTGTGAATAGATAGCACAATGTTCAGTCCCATCATCAAAGACAACTATGTTTTTTAAGAATTTATATGGAAAGCTTCATAAATCCCTGCTGCTCCCACAGACACAATAGGGGGCCTACTATAACCCTTGGTATGCACTCTATGCAAAGCTGAATCATAAAGATGGGCGTGGACAAGCCAGGCTTTCTTCTAGAGCCCAACCACAAGCTTTTCCCAGCAGCCCCATTACGTTGTCTTTACAACATCACTGCAAGAAAAACAGGGCAGAATCCTATGCATTTGTTTTCCTGCAGAGGAATGTCAAGAGCAGCGCAGAGTGCTGCAGACTGTAAGCTGGGAGGCCTGTACCATCCTGCTAGACCCAGAAGACAGAGATGTTCAAAACTGATTAGAAACATGTCACAACGAGCTTGAGTGGGCTCTCAAGGGACAAGTTTGAGACAATCTAACATAAAAGTGACGAAGCAACAGATAGACTGTAATGCAACTACAAAAGTAATCGTAAATCCCACGCACAGGACAGGGAGGCACTATGTTGGTTTGCTTCTGCTGTTCTAACAACCATGCTGGGCAGTTTAAACACAAACGTGCAGCCCCCCCATGGGAACACAGGCCCCACAGTCTACAGCAAGGCTATGGCAATCAGGCTGTTCCCTTCTGGAGGCTCCGGGTGGGCTCTGGGTCCTTCACGATTCAGCTTCCAATGGTCACCTGCATTCTTTCCCTCGGTGCTCTGTGGCTGTGCTCCCACTCCCTATCTTTCACTCAGTGCTCTGTGGTTGTGCTCCCTGTCTTTCAAAGGTAACAATGCCAGGTCTAGTCTTTCCCACCTTGTATCACTCTGGCCCTGCTGGCTCCTCCTTCCATGTTAAGGAATCCTTTGGATGCATTAAACTGGACACTCTGGGGCTAATCCAGGGTAATCCTCTAACTTGAAGGTCAACCAATTAGCAACTTTAATTCCCCTTTACCATAAAGGTTTATATATACAGGTTCCAGAGATTCATACTTCACTCACATGCAAAATAAATTCAACCCATCCCAACATCCTCATCAACTCAACCCAAAGTCTAAAAATCTCATCCAAATTTATCAACTCAAAATTCTCAAATCTCATTATCTATATTAGTATGATGTACTTGGGACAAAACTGTTCTCCACCAGTGGCCCTGAAACAAATTATTTGATAATATGATAATATGATTCACTTGGGACAAAACTGCTCTCCACCGGTGGCCCTGCAACAAATTATTTGCTCCACAAATACAATAAATAGAACTCCAGCTACATGGAGGCTGGTTCAAATTCAGACAATTTAAAGATGAAAAAAAAAAGAGTCCTAGTATGGATTTATAGATTCAAATCTGCAAGTTAAACTGGCACTTGTCTCCAGGTCTTAGGAGGAGCTCTGTGATTTGCAGTGTGCCTATGGGCCTGAGGCTCCACCTCTGGAGTAAGCCTCACGCTTGTCTACAGCTGAGCAGGGTCGTCATCGTGTTTCTTGTCTGTGGAATGTGGTGGCCTCACAGCAGCTTCATTTCCTCTGGATGCTGTTCCCTTCAGGGCAAGCTGGCAGTCTACTTGTTGGTAAAACATTCTAAAGAATCCTACAGGTCCCTTACATGTGGCCTCCCTCGAGATGATAAAGGAGTCCTCTACAGACCTTCCTCAATAAGCCATGTCTAGATGCTCCAGTCCTTGGCTGGCCGCTGTCCTTCCCCACCCTGAGCCCCCAAGGGCACACAACATGGAAGTTGTCCTTCCCACAGCTCGTCAATCTCACCCCTCTTCTTCCCTCCAAGGAACTTCTGAATTATCTCCTGATCTTGTGGGTTGATGAGGAACCTTAATTCCATCTATAACCGCACTCCCCTTTGAATACATCACAGTCACAGGTTACGGGAATGAGGAGATGGTCATCTTTTGGGCGCAGGGGATTATTCTGCCCACTACAAACAGAAAAGCTCATTACAGAAAATCCAGCTCATAAATGTAGACAGAACTGGCGGTGTAGCTCCCAGGTTGTAGAATGCTAGCAAGCTCCAAGCCCTGAGTTAGACCCCCAGCACTGCATAAACCAGGTGTGATGGTGAGCATTTATAATCCTGACACTCAGGAGACAGAAACTCAAGGTCATCCTCAGCTACATATCAAGTTCAAGGTCAGTCTGAGCTAACCCTGCTTCAAAAGAAAATTAATTTTGTGGGACTGGGGAAATTGCTCAGTGAGTAAGGCTTGCTGTGAAAACAGTATATGAGCTCAAATATCCAGCATGCACATAAAAGCTGGGCATGGCTCTCTATGCTTAATCCAGAATTGGGAGGTAGGGACAAATGGATTCTTGAGATCACTGACCAGCCAGCCTAGACAAATGATCAGCTTGAGGTTCAGCAAGAAGCTGTGAAGGTGTGGGGTGATAGAGGAAAACACCTAAGGTCTTCCTCTGGCCTCTGCAAAGACACACAAAGACACCCCCCCACAAAAACACACATAAATGTAAACAAAAACATGAAAAAATATCTGTTTACAAAAACCTTAAGAGTAGTGACTCAGACAAGCATCAGTTGGTACAGGAAAGAGACTACTGGGAGACAGGATGCTCATACATCTCAAAGTATCACTCCAGAGAGTGTTTATAAACCTTTACAAAGAAACAATCTGATGAACATTATCTTAACCAAATGACCAAACTTGAAGTCACTAGTAATACAAAATAATGCCATTGTAGTAGAATATTAGTTTAAGGTGTGTTACTTTTGTTTAAGTTGCATTTGTTTAACTGTGTGAAGCTGTGTTACTGTGTCTGTCTAAAACACCTGATGGTCTAATAAAGAACTGGCCAATAGCAAGGCAGGAGAAAGGATAGGCGGGGCTGGCAGACAGAGAGTATATATAGAAGGAGAAAATTGGGAGGAGAGAGCTAAGATCTAGCAGTCAAAGAAGGAGGACTAGCCACCAAGCTACACAGCCAGCCACAGAGTAAGATTTACAGAAGTAAGAGAACAGGAAAAGCCCAGAGGCAAAAGGTAGTCAGAATAAGTTAAGGAAAGCTGGCAAGAAACTAAGCCAAGCTAAGGCTGGGCATTGATAATTGAAAACAAGCCTCCGTGTGTGATTTATCTGGGAGCTGGGTAAAGAGTAAAAACAGCAGCAGCCATATGCTTCCCTCAGTGATACACTGGCGAGCACACAACTTCACCAAACAAACTCCTGCACAGTCAGAAAAATCTGGATCTAAGCACGTGGAGCAGAGGACAATAATGATCAAACCTGAGAATATCTGGGGCTGGCAAGACGGCTCAGAGGGTAAGGGTACCTTACCTGTCACCAAGCCTAAAGACCTGAGTTCAATCCCCATGACCTGTATGGTGGAAGGGGAGATGTGATTTCCCTACACATG